ACCTGATTCCTATTTTGGGGAACCAACTTTCAAAATCGTCATTTTAGGGAACCAACTTGCACCTGATTCTTATTTTGGGGAACCAACTTGCAAAATATTTATAGAAAAATGGGAAAATTACACCAAAATGGAACCAACTTTCACCTGATTCCTATTTTGGGGAACCAACTTTTAAAATCGTCATTTAAGAGTCTCTATCAAACTTTTGTTTATTTAAGGGTCTGGTTGATCTGTTGAACATGTAACAGGTAGTTTAAGGGTCTCTATCAAAGTTTTGGTTGGATTTGCCAAATTTGATTTAAACTTTAATATTAACACAGATTGGTTAGATATAAAAATCTTGAATGTGATATTTAATATTTATTTTTTATTGCATCCATTAATTTTTTCTATTAAATTGATTTTTTATTGCATTAACAAAAAAACAACTTTTATCGTGGTAATTTGAATTTTTTCGAAAAAAATCTTCAATTTGATATCTGAATTAAAAAAACGATATTTGAAATGAAAAATAGATTTTATTGCATTAATTTTTGAAAAAAATAAAAATAAATTTTAGTTATTTTTTTATAATTATTTTGAAAGTTGGTTCCCCAAGATAGGAATCAGGTGCAAGTTTGTTCCCCAAAATGACGATTTTGAAAGTTAGTTCCCCAAAATAGAAATCAGGTGAAAGTTGGTTTCCCAAAATAGGAATCAGGTGAAAGTTGGTTCCCCAAAATGACGATTTTGAAAGTTGGTTCCCCAAAATAGAAATCAGGTGAAAGTTGGTTCCCCAAAATAGAAATCAGGTGAAAGTTGGTTCCATTTTGGTGCAATTTTCCCTTTTTTTTTATTAACCTGGATATCTAATCCGTGGATATATGGCCATTTGTTTCATAAATATTACATTATAGTTTGCTAATATCATTTTTGTACGTTTTGGCATGTTACTCTCAACAGTGAGAATCATTTTGAAGTAAGACAAGGACTAGATGGTTTTGTTGTCGACACTCATTCCAAAAGATGCACGTGCATGAGTTGGCAGTGATATACTTCATTCACCTGGACCCAACTAAGTTTGTGTCTCTCTTCTTTTCGACGATAAATTCCACCAACATTTATAATCACAAGATCAACGTTTTGAATGATCTCAAACATTGGCCAATTATAGAGTTCTATCACACAGTTGTCCTAAAATCCATGTGCATGTACTATACAGCTATAATCGCGGAAAGAAAGATGCAAGTAGGAGAAATGCATAGGGCCATGTAGCTGTAGCCAAATCAGGAAGGAAGACGACTTGTGGAAATTGTTTGAAGGTGGGACATGATTCTATTAGGGATGGCCAAAAAACCCCTGCATCCGACGTGGAACCCGATACCCAACCCCGTTTTTATCGGCGAATCCCCAAGTTAACCGGGGTTGGGAATCCCGAATTTATAAACCGGAGATGGTGATATTCATCCCCGACCCCGAGTCTTAGTTATATATATTTATGTGTGTGTGTGTGTATATATATATACTAAGTATAATAATTTATTGAGAAACCGAGTGAGTATATATAATCTATAAATATAATCAATCTTCTATGATGAAAACTTGTAAGAAATTACATTATTGATTCGGTTTTTCATGGCAAATTTATATTTGATATAACCACCTGATAATATAAAACTTTAGGTATTAAGTATTGTAATTGATATATTTATGTTCCCCTTGTACAAATGCAACAATGCAACAATTAAAATTTGGTTGATCAATATTTTAGCATTATATGTCGTTTAAACATAAAATTGACATTCATATACATATATAATATATATAAAAATATTACGTAAGAAATTAAATTGTATAGACGGGGAAAAATCTCCGATTCCCGATGGAGATCCCGTTCCTCGATGGGAATGAGGTCGTGGAGATGAAATCTTATTCCCCGATGCGGATGAGGATGGGGATTGGAAAGCGGGGATGGGGGATTGCGATCCTCGATATCCCCAACGTAGTTGTCATATCTAAATTCTAATAGTTATGAAAATTAAAAGAAAGATGCATCGATTCGGGCAAAAATCAAGTTGGTATACCAAGAAAAAACAATACACAAGTGGAAGGTTTGGTAATTGGAAGCAAAACAAGAGGAAGGTGTTCATGAGGTACGAGTTCACTAGATACTATAATAAAGATATTATAGTAATTAGGATTAACACGGTTCTTGAATATGTATGCATCAAATGATTGTAACTAAAAGTACGTTTATTTTTTTGATTAACCTGGATATCCAACCCGTTATGCGAGTCGACTAATCCCAGGACTATCACCTGCTTTGCAGATTTGAACCTCTGTGGTTACAAAGGGTTTTGTATTCATTCTTGGATTTGAACCTGAGACCTCCAGGTACGTTTGACCTCACGTATGTTTATTTTGCAGAGGTCACAAGTAAGTTTTGAGGTAGGTGTACCAACTATTGTTGAGGAGGGTATATTAAACAGATATAATCACACTTTCATTGCACATTTGCATATGTTTACATAGGACAATTAATAATATTGGAGATACACTAATTACAGATGTTAAAACTCAACTACTTCTGCAGTTTAAAGTTGATGGTTAAGTTCGTAAAACTGGTTCAAAAAACTGTTAATTTTCAATCATAATTCATATTTTGTTGATACCATTTTTTGTAACAATGTATTGTAATCCACTATTCCTATTTTGAGGATTCAAATGCAGTAATTGGTTTGATATAAATACATTGATGTTTGAAATTAAATTTTGGTTGGTGAATTAATACAAAATATTTGACATTTTAGTTGGTTGCTTATTTCTTGCATTAAATTTTTTTTTTATTAATTTGAAAATATGGGAAATTTTAGTTGGTTGATTTATTAATATGTGAGAATTCAGTTGACTATCAACAGAAATTTATCAATTAACTTATTTTGATGATTTTTTTTATATTAAATTATTTTATCTTTGTAGGTTTGAATATTTATTTTTAGAAAAATATATATATAGATTATGAATTAATTAAAACGTTAACAATACAATTATAAAAATTAAAAATAATTTTATAATTATTTGAATTAATTTAAAAATAGTTATTTGACAAAAAATTATTATAAAACATAAATTTAGAAAAACAAAATTAGAAAACAATGTTGAAAAAAGTTATAAAACATAAATTTATAGCACATAAATTTTGGGAAAAAAGGTTAATGAAAAAACATTTATTAGTTGACTTTGACCTAAAGAATATGATGTGGTGCACTTTACCAATAGTGAGGACATAGTTTTAGACATATATAGTTAATACTCTCTTTAGTTGGTCAACTAACGACTTCACCATTATTTGAGAATTTAGTTATATATTTTCGAAATTGAACATTTATTTTCGGACAAAAATAAATAGAAATGTAGATACTTATTTTAAGACAAAAATAGTATGAAATTACAACTACAATGACCCAACTCGTTAATAATGTAACCCAAAGATGTAACTCGTTAAAAAAACCCAAGAACAAGGGACATGTTCTCTTGCATTTTCAAAAATGGAACAAGGAAGTTTAAAAATGCTAACCATAGGTGTTTGAGATTGCTTATTTGAAACAACTTATGTTTTTCTACAAAATTGTTTATCAACTTATTATAAGTTAGAATAATTTAACTTATTCAAAAACTTATTATTAACGGTTTGACACGGATATAAGTTGTTTATATAAACACTCAAAAGTGTTTATTACCGGTATCACCCCGAAATAAGTCAATAAATTGTTTTTTATAAACAATCCCAAACACCCCCTCATAAAAGATGTAATTTACTGAAAAATAAAATATTTCATCCGTTCTAAAATAAATATATATTATTTATTACAAAATAAATGAATACTTTAAAATATATTAGAAGAGTACTCGTGCA